AAAAGAGGAGCCTTTCTGGAGTAGCAGCTGGTCACCGGGGGGGGGGTATCTGGAGCATCTCTGGGTAGTTAGGGCTATGTGTGGGCAACCACTAATTGTAGCTGTGCTGGAGTAAGGAGGGGGAATCCTCTCCCACAGATATTTTGGAGTGTAAATGAGGAAGCAGGTGACCTCCCACACCCTTCCTGTCTAAATATCTGTACAGAGCACACTACTGTCATCCCAAGGCACAAAATTAGTTTGCGACACTTGAGTTTTGGAAGACTAATGACAATCGTCAGGGAAATGGGGTGGTGGATTGTCAGTCCCTTGCCCCATGGATCTGCTCCAGCCCGGATGGATGGGTCACATCAACATGTTCCATGCTGGAGGAAGGGGTTCAGCTCCCTGTCTGTTGTGGTTTAACCCAGCGGGCAGCTGAACACCACACAGCCGTTCCCTTCCTCCCCCGCCGCAGTGGGATGGGGAGAGAATCGGGGAAAAAAAAGGTAAAATTCGTGGGTTGAGGTAAAGACAGTTTAATAGGACAGAAAAGGAAGGGGAAATAATACTACTCCTAATGATAAAAGAATATACAAAATAAGTGATGCACAATGCAATTGCTCACCACCCGCCGACCAATGCCCAGCCAGTCCCCGAGCAGCGGCCCCCCCCCGGCCAACTCCCCCCGGTTTCTTTACTGAGCATGACGTCCCATGGTATGGAATGTCCCTCTGGCCAGTTGGGGTCAGCTGTCCTGGCTGTGCCCCCTCCCAGCTTCTTGTGCCCCCCCAGCCTGCTCAGTCGGTAGAGCGTGGGAAGCTGGAAAGCCCTTGACTAGTGTAAGCACTGCTCAGCAACAACTACAACATCAGTGCGTTATCAACATTGTTCTCACCCTAAATCCAACACACAGCACTGTACCAGCTACTAGGAAGAAAATTAACTCTATCCCTGCCGAAACCAGGACACCACACGTAGGCATCTCCCCTATTGTAGTATCTACAGATGATTGCAGCTTTGGGTTGCACGTGCTCATTAAGAAACAGGCTGTTCAGACAATGTGGTCTCTGTTATGTCATTACTATTATTTGCATAACCATCAACACAATCTTGGACACTGTAGAGTGACAGGCTGTACAAAGAGCAAATAAAAAGATGGCCCCAGTCCCGTCCCCCCTGGCCCCAAGCTTACAATATTGGAATAAAATGAGAGAGGAGAGAGGGATTTGGACAGATGGGAGAGCAGATGGAGACAGTGAGACAATACTGGGAGAGCTCGTGTGCCTCTGTGGTGCTGCAGGAACAGTACATGAAAATCTCCAAACTCCAGGATCTCTAGTTTGTTCCAGTCCCAAAACATTTGCCTCCCAAACCCTACCATCTCTCTCTCATTTAAAACCACCTTAAGATCTGGAATGACCCTCTGACAGTTGACAGGGGAACACCATCGTGAACTGACATAGGAGAGGTGGGAGCCTCTTTCCGTGAGCTATGACGGGCATCACGTTTTATCCCCGTGCAGCAACCAAAACTGTATCTTGCCAGTTGGTGGAAGGACACATGACAAGGAGACACCTTGCTGAGCTGCAGATGGATCCTCAGAGGTGACACCAGTAAGGGGTCCGTCTGGGACCCTTGGATGCTCCCTGGAGACTCCCATTTCATGTTACCTCTCTCCTGGCAGGTGGGGGCTGGACAGTCATTCAGAGGCGTCAGGATGGCTCAGTTGACTTCAACCGGACCTGGAACGAGTACAAGGAGGGCTTTGGGGACCTCAATGGCGAGTTCTGGCTGGGCAACGAGAACATCCACAAGATGACGAGCCAAGGGGACTATTCTCTGCGCATCGACCTGGAGGACTGGAACAACAAGCACAAGCACGCCTTCTACCAGGTCTTCAGGTAGAAAGTGGGATGGGCTTCCCTGGTTCTCATAGACGCAACTGGTTCAATGCTGGGAGACTTTCACACATGGGAACCCCATTGAGGTCAGAGTGACTCTGTCTAGAGAGCTATTCAGACTGGGCCCAGGCTGTCTATCCTTTCTTCCCCACCTGGATTTGAACACCAATTTTTGCTCTGGGTTGAAGCCTGGGTGTGAGCTAGCGAATGTGCAGCGTCGTTTGGCCATGGCCAACTTCCACAGCCCCAGGGGAGGGGAGCTGTAGGACCCAGTGGACAGTCCCCAGCTGCTTAGGGGTATTTTTTCTGCCAAAATTATTGAGCTCTATGTCAAAACCAGGGTTTTGAATCCCATGGTCTTGCTGGGCGGGTCCTCCAGCATCTCCCTGGTTTAGAGTTGTGTTTTGATTTTTACCCTCTTTACTCGTGGCTTGTACTTGCTAGGCCTGATGTAATGTCGTTCGGTGTCTATAGCTCTTCCCCTCCTCTGGTGTTTCATTTATCCATTCCACATCATCCACGTCCTTTCTTAATCAGGGATGACCAAGTCTGTCTAGGCTGTCCCAGGCAAACTCCTTCCCTGTCTCTACTGGAAACGCTTGTGGGTGACTGTGGAGTAATCCGCCATGGGAGGATGTCCAAGGGAGCACTGCACCTTATGGACACTTGAAGCTTGAGGGCTTTGAGTAGACCCCAAAACTGCTGAAACTGCTGGAAAAAAAAAAACCATTGCCTGAATGTGCTGTGGAGCATCCTCCACTAGCAAATGTGTGCTCTGAATGGTCACCCCAACTTTTCTCACCGGATGTCATGTGTAATGGCAGTGACTTTCAGCCTTTGCTAGCCCAGAGGCAGATTGCTAATTAGCTCAGTCTAGGTGAAGAGCGGGATGCTTGTTACGTGGAGAGGAGGCAGTGCTGTGTAATTAGAGGGACTGTCTCGCCAAAGCTGCTGCAGTCCTTTATTGTGGTTTTAGAGTCACGGTCTGCCCAGTTCAGCCCCATAACAAGTGCCCTGAGTCATGACAAAATCATGCACATCCCACAGAAGGGAAAAATACATCATCTTTGGCTTCTAGAGGTGATGAATCATAGCAGGGAGCCTGGCCAGAGCAGCCCGATGATTGCTAGGTGTCCACACCAGGAATGCAGTATCCAGGTTGGAAAGGAGACTCAAACACTCCCCATTAAATGGTCCCACCATTGTTGCTTGCAGCATTGAGGACGAGGCAAACTATTACCGCCTGCACGTGGACGGGTTCAGCGGGACGGTGGAGGATTCCTTTGCCTGGTACCACAACAAGAGGAGCTTCAGCACACCTGACTCGGGGAACATCTGCGCCGAGATTTCCCACGGAGGCTGGTGGTACCACCAGTGCTTTTTCTCCAACCTCAACGGGGTGTACTACAAGGTAAGGTGGAGGGATGAGGACACAAGGTGCTTTTTCTCTAGCCAGTGCTTTTTCTCCAACCTCAACGGCGTGTACTACAAGGTAAAAAGGAGGGGTGAGGATGCAGACGTTGGCACATGAGGTCCAGGGCTGGGAGGAGGCTGTTGGTCCTCACATCATAGCAATCCTTCCTGGCTTGACCAGCCCCTGCTCTCCGGGAAGGGAACAAAATGAGTGCTGGGCACCAAGGCACTCCAGCCTTTTCAGTGCCGTGGGCCAGACATGAGCATTGAGACACCTCTGCACGCTGGGGTTTGGGGCCGCATGGTGGAAACTTGTGGTATGGGTGACTCACGCAGCCTGAGATGGATGGATGCCTGCTCCAGTGGGACCATTTGAAAAATGCGGGGCTTTACGTGCTCTTTTCACCACATCATGATTAAGCTCTTTGCTCCAGCGTTTCAGAGCAATACGTTTTCCGATGCTCCCATCCAGATGACGCTTTCGTGCGTTTCCCGTGCCTGACCATCCTTCTTTCTCTGCATCACAGGGTGGCCGATACTCCATTAAAAACCGCAAGATCCTGGGGCCGGATGGTATCGTGTGGTACTCGTGGAAGGACACAGACTACTATTCCCTGAGGAAGGTGGTCATGATGATTCGACCACGCACTTTCCGGCCCCACCTCTCCCCCTGAAGGAGCCTGGGACGTTCTTCATTTCACCTCACGTTGAACGTCGGGAACAGCGGGCTGGAAATAGTTTGCTGTGAGCAAAAACTGATGCTGGAGATCCCGGAGGGACTGAGCCACCATGCCTGTTGCTGCCTGTTTGCTTTTGAGAGAACCGAACTGACAGCAGAGGTGTCAAGACCTTGAACAAGTGTTTGGGTGGTGAAAGCTCTCCTAAAAACGTGGAGGTGATTGCTGAGAAGGGCTTTGCGAAGACAAGCATGTGGCTTGCCATCTCACCGGGTAGCAGCAGTCCTTGGCAGGCTTGGGCATCCCCAAGACTTGAGACTAAATCCAGTTGACTGGGTGATGGGAGTCAGCCACACACTGAGTCTGGACCTTACGTTGAATGGAGACGTTGAGTGCTCTGGCTACCGACCCGACGGTATTTTAGAGGGAAGGAAAGAACCAGCAATCCTGTACGAGTTTTCCACACGGGATGTGACGGACCAATTCTTGTGCCATAAGATGAGCATCTCCCTGGTCTCGGCAGAGTTTCTCCGTTCACATCATCACGTATGTGTTTGGTACTGAAGGTCCACCACCCCAGGGATGTGTGAGGGTGGCTCCAAGGTGCTGAGATGGCCCTGAGGAAAGCCAGGAGAGCCGGCGAGCATCGCCCAGGGACAGTGTCATGGGCAAACGAGGAGGAAGGTCTGCAGTGGCCCTCGCCTTCTCTGGCAGGGATTGTGTTACACACGTGGACATTAGCTAGCTGCGATAACAATACTCTAAATGAAAAGATTTAAAAATAAAAAATGCGGATTTTTTTCCATTTTCCGTTCGATTTTCACCTCTCCGTCCTTTCTCCAGCAAAGAACTTCTGATGAATTTTCTGTCCACCCTAAAAGTCTTCTGCAGGAATGACCAGACATGATTTTAAGTCTTTTTTTACTGCCTTACTAGGGATAAAGAAGATTCATTGTTGCTGTCTTTTAATTTTCCATTTGTAGCTGCAGCGAGAGACCCTCCTTTTTTCCTGACTTTGCCTCCTCGCAGGATCAAGAGCTGGAGGCTGGGACTTGGCCTCAGCCCTGATTGTGTTTGGTGATGAATATTTAATTAGATTACCTTTTTCCTGTTTCGTGTGTGCAGATGAGTTCAAAGAGGGTTCAGTGAAGGGGAAGGCAGATGTATTAAAGACAAAGCACCGTTCCTCCCAACTACTTGTCTCCTGCTTGATGCTTTGCTGGCTCCCTGATGGTTTCCGTAGCTTTTACGCTGTTCTGGAAAATATTTTGCCTGGAACCTCATTTTTCATGGGCAAATCAAGCAGAGAAGTTACCTTCCAAGCATCCTACAAACTAATATCACCAAGATAATAAAACAACATTATTTGTCTTTCCCTCTGCTAGGTTTGCCTTGGTAGTCTTCCTTGGGGGGTGTTCCCAAGACATATCTCATGGTGTTTGGGAGTTGCAATGGGCTGGTCTACGCTGTTGTTGGGCCATCACTTGCCGTGAACATCTGGGCACCACCAGCGGTGGGAGGAGAGCTTTCTTGCCTCGTGGCACGCGCGTCTCAGATATAACACCATTCCTTCCCTCTTTGGACCGCAGGCGTTCAAAAGACCTTGATGTCCACTGGTTAAGCAATACCCTACTAAGAGACCAATAAACCACTTGAATAAGCAACAACCTAATTAACTAATGATCACATTATCATTATTAATCTATGATCTGATTTTGCACATTATTAAACACACATTATTTAACCTTATGAATCACACACGACTGCTGCTGAATTACAGTTTTACTATCCTTCCCTCCCCACAGCTCTTCATACCAGGGTGCAAGTGCTTCCCTTTTTACCCTCTTGCACTACGTCTTTTGGACATAGCCCTGAGAGAGAGTCCAGCGAGTTGTCCAAGGGCATCCCATGCGGTTGGGTACCCAGGTCAGTGCCACCACCGTCTGTAGGCATCCATCCTCTGACCTCCGAAAGATCCCATCCTCCTGTGTTCCTTACCTGCTTTCGTAACTTATTCCTCCTTCTTTTTTTTTCCTATTTCTACCTTAGCACCTCTTTTTCTCAGCCAAATCTGCCCCTAATTACTTTTTTTTTCCTTATTGGTCCCAATTCTGCTACATCCATATTCAAAATTGTCATATCTGATGTCATGACTGAGGCAATCTTGGCCTTCTAGGGCATTACTGGTATGGTTGCCTGTACACGGGTGGCTTTGTAAGACTTTGCACCCCAAAGCTCCCCTACAGTTACGGGGTTCATACTGGACACATGCTGGGTGCCTTGTACACTCTCTAAGATGAATCGTTCTGCTTCAGACGTGACTCCTCCACCTTTCCCAAACAGCTTCACACGCACAGACAGTCTGCATGCTGGAGGAGCAGGCAGAATAATGTGATTTTCATACTACTTCGGAGTTCACACGGCGTCCTTGCCCTTGAACAGTTTTAATCGCTCCCCCGGTTCCCCGCAGAAGCGCCAGCTACTTATGACTCCCAATGCTCCAGCCGCACCCCTTGGTCACCCGTGCCAGCTTCCCATGAATGAATGGCTGGTACCTTGCCCAAAATTATGATTTCTGAGAAACCAGCATGAGGCTATGGACTGGAGGAAGGACATCAAATGGCAGAACTGTCCCTGCACACTGTCGCTGCTGTCGATGATGCACGAGCCGGGAAAAGCTCCCAGAGCCCGGCAGCGGGTTGGTGGCAGGCAGGTTCACCTCTTCACGTGGCGTCCTGGAGGCACTGCCAGGGTGCTGTTTCTGTAGGTGCTTTGATCTGTTACATGTCACTCTGCAGCTATGGGCACTTGTTTCCCCACATGCAGGGCAGCAGCTGAGCGGCATCTGTCATGTCTGCTCTGAAGGCCACCCAGGCATCCTCTCGTGTTCAGGGGGTGCAACTCATAGCACAGGTCTTGCTTGGGCTGGGATTTAGGGCTGGGATTGCATCTGGCTTTTCAAACAGCAGAGGTGGGATCAGGTGCAGAAAAGGTCTGTCCAGGTCTCAGCCCCGGGAGTCTGGCACGTGCCATGAAATGTCTCCTTGGGACGCTTCCTGAAGGCACCAAATCTTTGTTTTGTGCTTTTCCCCTTGTATGTCCTGGCTGTGCCCACGGGATGGTGCTTCAGGAGAGGACTCCACCACGTAGGCAAGGACCTGGTCTCCACCGCCTCCTCTCCAGTGTTTGGTGCAGGATGCCCAGGTGCAAGGCTCTGAGCTCCAACCCCTCACCCAGGTGTGGGTGTCTCCTGCCATTTGAGACTCGTGGGCTATCAGAGGCTGGCACATGGGGTGGGCAGAGGTGACATGGGACCCACAGGACACAGGGCCCTTGGGAACCAGGTGGGTAACTCTGGGGGCATCTCAAACAGCTCTGCGTGGGGAGATGAAGGTTTTTGGTAATGCAGCAAGGCTAAGAGCAGCCTGAGTCTCATCACTGCAAGCCCCAAATCCAGCCAGAGGATGCCCGAGTTCCTCCCGGGGAGGAGAAGTGGGGCCAGCGTCTGCAAAAGCAGCTCCGCTGCAGGAAGGGAAGGCTAAGCCTGGACTCCTGGGTGCTCGTGCCCCACAGCTTATAGCAAATGGGACATGGGGATACCTCCCCTGCCTCTCCCTCTGTATGGGGCTGACAACCCTGCTGGCTTCCCCTGGAAGAAGGTTATGGTCCCGGTCCAGGCGTCTGCTGGGTACCAGGCTTTGGGCAAGACACAGCAGTGTGGCTAAGCAAGAAACTAAATACACGCCATCAAAATGACCCCGTACACTCGGTCCTGCGCTGGGGGAGGAAAGCGTGTCTGACTCCCCGCAGGACAGGGCTCCCGACTGCGAGCCTGGCTCCTTCTTCCACTCTTCCCCTTCACACTGAAACTAACCCCTGCCTCGTTAATTTGGCTGACCCCATTCTAGTGCTGTCTAAAGTGATATGGGGCAGGAAATTGTATTGACAGAGCCTCATCGAGTGCAGCCATGAGGCAGACACCCCGCCGGGTCCCGTGCATTGCTGCACTAACCTGCAGACCCCTGAGCACGTGGACGTGCAATATTCCGGCTGCGGAGCAGCGGCTGGCTCTGTGTGTATCTTGCTGGGGGAACAGCTACATGACCCGGCGTTGTTTTGCCTCACAGCTACCCAAGACAGAGGAAGGTCTGAGAACAATTTCCATCTGATGTGTAAGGTCAATGCAAGTGTTTCCATCTGTGTGATAGTCAGGGCTCAGTGTATCTACTGGAGATGGAGAAGGTTTATGAGGGCCACTAGCCCATGCTCCCATGGGTCTCCAGTCCCATGGCTGGGAAAGGCATCTGAACTGAGACTGGAAAAACCGCAGGAAAGGGCTCCTGGAGTGACAGTCATCAAAAAAACCTTGGTGAGGGGTCCATGAACAGAGGGCTGGATCTTCAAACACCTTGGGGTGAGGAGAAGGGGCGAGGGAGGGAGAAGAACAGGGAAGCGAAACATTAGCTATTCTAAGACACAACACTGGAAACACTGGAAAGGAGGTTAAAGATTGGTCAGTTTAGGGGAGGGGTTATCTGAGGTGGACCACTGTGTTGGGCAAAAAGCTGGATGCAGGAAGAAGATCCAGCTCACCTCTCTCTTTAGCCTAAGCCATCATCAGCTTTCCCCCTTGACAGCAACGGGAGAAAAATGAGCCTCTGAAGCCTTGCTGGAGCATTGACCATGTTCATTAGGATTCGGGCCATGGAGCAGGATGATCTGAGATGCAGGTGGTTATGGGTGGGGTGGGTTTCTGCTCCAGGTGCCTGGAGACAGTCGAGAGTTTTTAGGATGTGCATCCTGACACCATCTCCATTACACTTTGGTTTTGACTCACCCTGATCCTCTTCGGACGGCCTCCTCCAAACAGCCGCCTCCTGACGGTGTTGGTGCCATCAGCTGTGCCCCCGTCATCATCTTCTTACCCTGGTGCCCCATTTCCCCCCCTGACACCCGCTGGCTTGTCCCCAGGGAGAGCTGCACCCTCCTGGCTCTGCTCCCCGTTTCTCTGCTACCCTCATCAAAGCTTCCGGGTGCTTTTTAAGGCTCTCTGGAGGGAGGTCTTCTAGTCTCTCCCTATTTTCTTCATCCTCAGCCCAGCTTTGGTGCCCCTTTCCGTTGTGTCATGGTTCCTGCGTCCCTTCACGCCCATCAGCACACGTGCTGTTGTGGGCTATGGCACAGAGTCCCAGGGCAGAACAATATATTTCATTATTCTTTGTTTATTCAAATACAATATACCTAACAGACCAGTATTTTGTTTGCTGCAGGTTTACCCAGCTCCTACAAGTCTGCTGCTGGTCAGCCTCAAGACTCCTGTTGCTGTTGTCTGTACTAGATCATAGAATCATAGAATCATTAAGGTTGGAAGAGACCTCCAAGATCATCGAGTCCAACCGTCAACCCAACACCCCCACGCCCACTAAACCATGTCCCTAAGCGCCTCATCTACACGTCTTTTAAATACCTCCAGGGATGGTGACTCCACCACTTCCCTGGGCAGCCTGGTCCAATGTTTAACCACTCTTTCAGTAAAGACATTTTTCCTCACGTCCAATCTAAACCTCCCCTGGCGCAACTTGAGGCCGTTTCCTCTCGTCCTTTCGCCAAGATGTATGCATCTTGCCGCTTTCTTGAGCCCATGGCTTCTCCTCCCTTCTTGGGTGTAACAAGCTCTTCTGCTCTCCCCAGGTCCCCTCCCACGTGGCTTTTGGGGGTTGCTAACTCACATCCCAACAGTTTGTATGACCGTGGTGGACTCTGCCACCTCAACACTGACTCCATGTCCTTTTTCGCATGGTCCCTTTTGATATGGCCCCTTCGCTGTTGCACCTGAGTGATAGGACCCCCCGAGCGTGGCTGCTGTGTTCACAGGGAGGTCTGAATCCCCTCCTGGGATTTGTCTTAATGTTGGCACCGAATCCCGCACCCATGGGACCACCAGCTCCTTGGTTGGACACCCATCTTCCAAGGCTTCTCAGGTTCAGGGAGGACCTCCTTAGCCCAGATCTGAGAGGACAGGGTCAGGGAGGACCTCCTTGGCCCAGATCTGAGAGGACAGGGTCAGGGAGGACCTCCTTGGCCCAGATCTGAGAGGAC